AAAACGGAGTTGTAGACTTACCCGTAAGTCTACACACTTATACCAAATTAACCTAACCGGATTTAACCAACTTAGAGTATAGTAGACTTACAATTAAGTCTACTTATATGTAGACGTCTATTTCAGTCTACGTTAATTTGTGTTTACCAAAATAAATTATTTTAAAATTAAAATTAACTAAGCGGGAAGTGAAAATGAAGTTTGGAGCCTATTTTTCCATATTGGCGCCAATATTTAGGTATAGTAGACTTACAGTAAAGTCTACTTATATGTAGACGTCTATTTCAGTCTACATTAATTGGTGTTTATCAAAAAATATTTTAAAATTATAATTAACTAATTTGAAAAAAAATATTTGAAAATTAAATCTATTTATTTATGAATTAAAATCTGAATTAAAATTTTATCAACAAAATTTTAATACTAAGTCTACTAAATATATAATGAAAAGAAAAATTTTAGATTATATATTATAAACTATTTAAACAATAATGAAAAATATTATAGTAGACTTCCAAAGAAGTCTACTTAACCTAAAGTTTTAACCAAGTAATTTTACTAAACCAAAATTAAACCAAAGAGTTTTAACCTAACCAGAAAAATGACTTGACATATAAATACCCTTTATTATTAAAAAAAAGGGGCAGACAAAAAAAAAACAAGCCGCCTCTTTCTCTCTCTCGCGATTCCTCTCATCCTTCTTCTCCGGCGAAAGCTTCAGATCTCAGTTAATTTTTCAGAGTGCGAAGAGGCAAGTGAGGAAGCTTGTGGATGATGCGTCGAGATTCTTGGACAAGAAAGTGACCAAGGCTGTTGTCACGNCTCGCGATTCCTCTCATCCTTCTTCTCCGGCGAAAGCTTCAGATCTCAGTTAATTTTTCAGAGTGCGAAGAGGCAAGTGAGGAAGCTTGTGGATGATGCGTCGAGATTCTTGGACAAGAAAGTGACCAAGGCTGTTGTCACGGTGCCTGATTTCTTCAACGACTCACAGAGGACAGCTACTAAAGATGCTGGGCGTATTTCTGGGTTGGGTTTTCTTCGTATTATCACAGAGGACAGTAGGTTTTCTTCTAAACCTTTAGAAATGGTTTAGTGAATTCTATTTAAAGGCTGCGCCTTTATCTATCGTCTTGCTCTGTTCTCTCTGTTCTGATGTTACTCATTAAGTTGTTTACTAAGGGCAGAGAGTTGTTCATTCTTCTTGGAGCTATTAGTACTAGACTCAGTCTCTAGTAGATATTAAGCCGAATGAATTGTATAAGTATCAATGTGTTAGAATAATCTGTGGATATAAGTAGTTGGATTTGTATCTCAAGAAGATGATAGGAATAATGTTTTTGCGTGATGATATAAGCTTTTTGCTGTAAGATTTAATTTTTCACTGAAGAGAAAAAGNATTGTATAAGTATCAATGTGTTAGAATAATCTGTGGATATAAGTAGTTGGATTTGTATCTCAAGAAGATGATAGGAATAATGTTTTTGCGTGATGATATAAGCTTTTTGCTGTAAGATTTAATTTTTCACTGAAGAGAAAAAGATTAGTTGTTTGATTTTTTTTTAATTTATGTTTTTTATTTGTAGATTGCAACTGGAGGAGGAGGTGGAGACATTGGGAAGATAGTTAATTTCGGTGGTGGCGATGGAGGTGATGAAGATGGTGATGATGATGATTACTTTGATGAATTTGATGATGACGATGATGGTGATGAAGGTGGACTCTTTAGGCGTAGGATGTTTCTTGCAGAGGTAAGGGTTTCGTTTTTATTTTTTTATGAATTTTATTGTCATGGTGTCATTCCAGTTTGTGTATTTTCCACAAAACCCATTACTAATTTGAACTTTCCCATTGACGTATGCTTTTAGGAACTTTATTGTAATTTGTTGTTTCATGGAGTTTAGGTAGAAGTCTATATTAGTATATTAAGTATTTACTGATGTGTTGTTTCATGTTATTGACTTGTATCCCATCGAATAGAATACTATGAAGTTTAATTACCTTAATCTACCGTAGACCTTTATCTACCGTATAATAATTATTGTCAATGTCAAAGAATAATTAAATGGTTACAATATTGATGTGTTGTTTCTTGGTTTTTGACTAAGGTCTTGTTGGGTTTGGTGCAGGTCAAGAAGAATAATTACCGTGGTGCAGACGTTTTCATTCCTGCATTCTCTCTTATTGGCAAAGCTAGCTACGAGAACATAGCCAAAAAGGTTTACTTTCTTCTTCTTCTTCTTCTAAAATTCATTCTTTGTTTGATAAATATTAACTTGTGTGATGATTATACTCTTAGTCTGGCTTCTATATAAGCTTCTTGATTATGCAATACTTTACTTCTGTGTACTTGTGTGTGCTTTGCTTCTGGTTTTGTGATCTAGTGATCTTTAGTGTATGCGTTGTGTAATTGCTTGTGTTCTTAGTTCGCTAGCTTGTTTCTGTAACTAGCTTGTTGTATGATAATTGCATCTTGTTTTGCTTCTGGTTTTGCTTAGTCTTTTAGTTACCACATTGTTGTATTAGTTACCTCTTAGGACAATGTTCATTGAATGAGGCTTGCTTAGCCTTTCTGAATCATAGCTTTTGTTGCCAAAAGGCTTTCTTAGCCTGGCGATTTATTCTGTTTATGGCTTTGTTAACTTCAGGCTATTGAGAGAGAAAGAAGAAGAAGAGCTGGTATGGGAGTAGACGATGGTCTGCAGACTGATACTCCAACTCAGCGACAAGTTCTTGAAGATCGCTCCCAAGAGCTAGAATATGAGAGAAACATTATGTATTCATCCATAAACTTGTTTGCTTTATGTTCGTGTTCTCAAGCTTTTACAAACTTGTTTTTACAGATTATGGATTCAATGTGTTCTTTTGATACAAACTTCACCCGAATCAAAAAAATTATGAAACTTTTACTTTTTTTTTCTTAGTTCATTGTTTAGTCATTGTTCTTACAATTTTTATTGTCTTGTTACAAATGTGGTTACATTGAAAAAAAGTATAAAGGGCTTATGTATGAGAGTGTGATTCATTGGTAACTCAAATATCTAGGTGTCAACACAAGCTATGAGCTCTTAGGTGGACATGGAAAAGAACCGTTAACACACGTCGCGGTGTTTTCTTTATAACATCAAACATGATGTGAAAGTGTTAAACTTTTTGTTAAAATTATACCGTAGACTTACCAGTACGTCTACGATTATTAGCTAACAACATAGATAAACCAAAATTTGATAACTTCCTAATTATAACAGATTATTTTCTAAAAATCATTCAAGACCCTTCTGATTAACTAACACACACTTTCATAAAAAAAATTTTTGAAAAAACTTAATGAATAATACACAAATCCACCCATGATAGATTTTACATGGTAGACTACATATTCAGTCTACAGACCTGTAGACGTTTTATTCAGTTTACAGGTTGTAGACTGAACTTTAGGTCTACGTTTAGGTTGGTTTTTGCAATTGCCAAATTCACGGGTTACTTTCTGTATTTGAAAAAAAGATATGA